AGGGGAAGGATGCCAGGGGGACGGGAGTGCACTTTGAGCGCGCTAGAGAATGGTTGGTTAGGAGAACATCCCACCCAACAGGAGTGGCGGGTTCCCTCGGGGCCTTGGCGGCACGGCGGAGGTTTGGGAGGCGCCCACCTCCGGGGGCATGGCATCCGGGGAACTGCGGGGGAGCGCTTCGGGGGATGGCAGCTTCCAGCTCGGGCCAGCGTCGGGTGTGCCGCGCCGCACCCGCCAGCGCAAGGAGGCCGCTATCGACGCCCCCACAGCTCGAGGAGGGAGGTGGCGTGCCGGCCGCACACAGGCCGTCCCTCGTGCGTCGGCTTGAGCTGCAAGCAAGCTTGTGCGCCGCAGCCGCCAGCAGAGAGCGAGTCCCAGCAGAGGGCGTCGCGCATCGGCGTAAGCAAAAAGGCGGGGCGGGGAGGAGCGCCACCGCTGCCTCTGTCGCCGTTCACGGCGGGTTTGGCGCCACTGCTGCAGCCACCACCGCCTCCACCTTCAGCCTCGCCAACCACGGCCGCCCGCGCGGCGGCCGCAGCAGCGCCGCCCGCGAGCATCAGCATGGCAGTCAGTGAGGGCGCCACGCGGCCGGCAGCTATGAGCCCGCTGGCCACGGCGCCTCCCGCCGCTGCCGCCAGCGAGACGGTCGCCCCAGCATTCACCGGCGCGGCGTCCCCCTCCTCTGGCGCGAGCTGTGTCAACAGTGCCCCCTCCTCGGTGGCGGCGGCCGCGCGCAGCGGCTCAACGTCGTTCCGCGCAGTGTCTTCCCCTTGCCGCAGAGCAGCGGTCCAGTCGTGTGGGTACGGCCTCAGCCCCGCAGCCGCCCTCTGCTCCGGGTCGAGGTAAACCTTGCCGTCGAGGTGGCGCATCATTGGCTCCGCGACGCCGTCGAGCAGGAGGAAGCAGCCGTTGGGTGGTGGCTGCTTGGCAGCAAAAGCTGCCGACTGGAGCCACGCCTTCATCTGCGTTTGCTTGCCGAACGTGTCCTCGATGAAGGTGCCGCGCCGGACGCCTGAACCGGTCGCGAAGACCGTGTCGCGCAGGAACGGCGCCGAGACGATCGAGACGTTGTCCATGTACCGCAGCATCGGCAGCAGCGCATAGCCTTCGCACAAACCGGTTGGGCGGAGGCGAACCCCGTACTGCGAGAGTGCTGTCTGCGCGTAAGTTGTTGTCCTAGAGGCTAGCTTGACGTAGCGCACGGTCGGAGAGGCGTGCATCGCCGCCGCCACGGCCTCCAGCTTCACGGGCCGAGCCACGATACAATCGTGCGGCACGACGATGACAAAGGGCGTGCGGACATGCGCCTCCACCGCCTCGCGTATTGCAAACGCCGAGCCCTGACGCCTCGCCAGCCGCACCAGCCGCGTGCGCGCAAAGGCGGCGTCAGCACGGCACAGACGCGCAACCTCCTGGACAAAGGCCCGGTAGCGACACACCTCCTCGTCGGTGATCACGCCCTGTTTGCGCTGGCTGCGCGAGCGCACCTTAAAGCCGTCGCACATGATCAGCTTGCGGCAGCGCCCGAGGCCGGCGTTGCGGTCAAGCGATGCGAGGCATTCGAGGAGCATGCGCGTGCTCGGATTCGACTGCACCGGCGAGCTGGTGACGACGACGGTCAGCAGCTGCTCCACGCCCGACGGCGATGACGAGGAGCAAACCTCGTCGCCGTCGACAGTCGAAACGGGCAGGATGGAGCAGGCGACGCGGCCGTTGGTGAAGATGTGCACGACAAAGTCGACGCGCCACACGGCGTCGAAATAGGAGGCGTCCTCGCTGTCCCACGCATCCCAGCACGGCTGGTGCGGTGTCGCCATGAGCGCTTGACCGCGTCGCCGCAACGTCGCGAAGTTTCTTTTTGGCATTTAACGGAAGTTTCTTTTTGATAGTACTAGCACGCGCCAGTTCGCACCTGTGTCGAGCCTGTCTGCTGTGAGAGAGAGTTGTTTTGGTTAAATTCTTTTTGGCACGCACACTGTCTGCCCCGGTCTTTCGACTTTCGACGACGTTTATATGCAACCGCCCCTCGCCGCAGGCAAGCATGCGTCCAGAAGCAAACAATCTCTACCCTTCCAACACACCATCAAAGAGCAAACTCTGCCAACGTCGTTCGCCCGGCCGCGAACAGGCACACCGAATTCAGAAGTCTCACCCACCACCGTCGGCCGGCTTGACCGGCTGTACCGCACCGCACACGCCCGGCACTGCCGGCTTCGCAAAGCCCCACACGCACCACGGCTCCGTGCCGCGTTTGGGCGCACCCTTGGCCGCCACGGCACTCCACTCGGGCGTCATCTCAAACGGCCGGTAGCACCACGAGTGCGGGAAGATGTGCGACGTGAGCTGCGCCTACGTGCGCCACCCACACGCGTGCGCCCTTGGCCGCTCACACCGGGGAAGGGCGAGCACGGGTGTGTGCGGGCGCGCGCCGTGTCGTGCGCCTCCTGCGCGCCCTCGTAGCAGCCGATCATCGCGCTTGCGTCGCTCAGGCTCACGCGCAGCAACCGCACGTGGTCGTATGGCTTGAGCGCCGCGCGCAGCTCGCCGGCGCGCCTCCTCGCCGGCAGCACGAGCCGCGGGCCTTCGGAGCCAGGCACGAAGGCGTGCCGCGCGCCGCCGCGCTCGGGCGGGAGGGCGGCGGAGGAGAGCGTCGAGGAGAGCATCGGCGGCGGAACCTCCATCGGGACAGACGCCTCGCCGGGGGGCGCGGTGCTGAGGGTGGCGGTGGAGTAGCCGATGCGCGGGTGCGCGCCGAGCTGGCGGAGCCAGTGCCGCCCCCGGAAGGGGAGCCCGTCCTCCCACGGCCCGTCCGCCCGGCTGGCCTGCATCCCGCGCTGGGGGCGGCGCATGCGGCTGGGGATCGTGCCGTGCAGCAGGGAGGGGTCGATGACGTGGTCGAGCGGGCAGACGAAGGGGAGCGGCTGCGACTCGGTGGCGGAGGGGATGGCGCACTTGTCGAGCCGGTGCCAAAACTTGTCGCAGTAGCACCAGAGCGTCGGCAGCACCGCGGTGCGGTTGAGGGCGCGGGCGAGGGCGAAGCCGTGCGCGAGCCGCTGCCGCACCCGCTCGAGGTGCGACACGTGCTGCCGCCCGCGCGCGTGCAAGTCCTTGAAGCCGACCCACGGCTCGCGCGGTGCGAGGGGCGCGTCCTCCTCGAGCACGAGGTAGCGCGAGCCTACAGCCAAGGCCCGTCCGGCTGACGCGCGGGGGCCGCCCCGCCGCCGCCTCGGGGGCGGGGGGGGGGCGCGGGCCAGTGATGTACTCCTCCTCCTCGTCCACGAGCCACATGCCCCAGTCGCGGAAGCGCTGCCGCTTGCCGAACGCGTAGTCCGACGTGTCGCCGAACTGGTACGTCGCGTGCACCGCCATTGGCCACGTCGCCGTCGGCGACTGCAGCTGCTGCACGAAGAAGGTATGGCCGCCCGCCACGGCGGTGACCGGGAAGGTGCCGATGTGGACGTGCCTCGACACGTTGGGCAGGCAGACGTCGAAGATGCGGCGCGAGCCCTCCGTGGTGCGGCCGCGTGCCACCACCGACGCGTCGCCGGCGCCGCCCGTCTCGGGGTCCTCCCCTCCAGCCCACAGCTTGTTGTACCCCCTCTTTGTCTTGTGCGAGCCGCACCACGCCTCGCCGAACTTCTTGAAGTCCGACCGCTGCGCGTTGCTCATCCCCCACCGGTGCCCGCGCCCGTTGCCGTCGATCAGGTCGTTGAAGGTCGTCTGGTCCTGCTCGTTCTTCTCCCCCACCTGAAGGCGCACCTTCCACTCCGCCATCGCCGCGATCCCGTTTGGCGTCGCGCGCACCGCGAGCACGCCCGTGTTCTTGTCGACCGAGTCGTGGTAGCAGCCGGGGTCCCGGACCGACACGTCGAGTATCGGGTCCATGCAGTCGCTCGCCACGAGCAGGTCCGCCGCCGCAAAGTCCTCGAACCCCGCCACCTTCCCGTGAAACATCGGTAGCGGCGACGACGACCAGACGCAGTCGACGTCCGAGAGGACGACGTTGATGCCCATGCGCAGCACCGGCAGGAGCACGTCGAGCTTGCGCACGCCCAGCGCGCGGAAGCCCGCCTCGGAGCCGCGGACGTACGACGTGTCCTCGGCGGCGGCCGTGTGCGACCAGTCGAGGCAGTGGAACTTCTTCTCGGTGGCGAGCGCGACCGCGTCCTTGTCCATTGCCGAGACGAGCACCGGCAGCCCGAGCCGCTCGACGTGGAGCACCCAGTTATGCAGCATCTCACGCACGCCGCCCGTCGCGTACGTCATCATCATCAGGTCGCCCTCCTTTGCGGGGATCGACTCGAGCGTGTGCACGTACGGCGACGGGCCACCGCCGACCGCCACATCGGGAGAAACAGGCGACGCCCTCGCCGCCGCCGCCGCCGCCGCCGCCGCCGCCGCCGCCACCGCCGCCTCCGCGCTCCGTCTGCGAGCCTCCGCCTGCTTCAGCGAGGCCTCCGCTGCGGCAGCCCGCGCCTCAGCGCTCGTGGCGCGCGCCTCGGCCTCGGCGAGCTTGCCTGCTGCCCCACAGTCTCTCGGAGGATGGACGGCAGACCAGGAAGTCGAGTATGCGCACAGCGCAGCGAGCAGAGTCAGGCCGACCAGGCCGAGCGTCCGCTTCGCGTGGAGCGGCATCGAGCGGCGCGAAGTACTAACAACAGGAAAAAAGAATTACTACTCCCTCAAAAAAATATGCGGCGCTCTCCGTACTCGAGCAAGCCGTGGAGATCTTTCGAGGCGCGCCGCCGCTGGAGACACTCGACGCGTGCGGACTGGCAAACGTGAGTGTGAAGCCCACGGCGTGCTTGTGGATTCGCGCCGTGCGCGTTGAGGGGCGCAAGAGCTCGCTGCTATTGCCCACGCCGGAGCGTTTTGCGCGCCTATTCGAGCGAGAGGAGGCCGTGTGCCAGCGGAGGGATTGCCCACCGAGCTCACGAGAGATCGGGGCTCTGGTAGCGATTTTGACGGTTTTGACGAGGAACACGTGCGGTTTCGGGTTTTCAGTAAATATTTTCCGGTCAGATTGCCGTAACGCCCCGTGACCCGCCTATCCGATTTTTTATAAAAAATTAAACAAAAGAGTCCGGGGGCGTCCGCGCAACTAGGCGACACCGGCATCCCCATCAACAGGCCGTCCGCCGCTTGCTTTTTACAATTTCATTGCGCGTCTGCTCGCGCGCGACTGCCGCCGGGCACCACGTTTTTCTTTCTCCCTCCCGAAGAGTCTCGGCCGACGGGTTCGACACTGCGAGGAGTCACCTTTCGAAGGAGTCACACACCCTCTGAAGCAGCCCGGGCAAGACGTCGACCTACGGCCGCCTCACCACGGTCGCGGACGAGCCGATGTCTGTGCTCCGCACGTCGCTCACTGGGCAGCAGCGCGAGGTGGAGGAGCGGCTTCGGACGGTCTGTCTGCTCCTCTGCGGCCTGGCGGTTGTCGCAGCCGGCCTCTACTACCTCAAGGCGATCCTCATCCCGCTCGTGCTCGCTGTCTCGCTCATGTACATCCTTCAGCCGCTCATCGACTTTCTCACGCGCCGCCCGCTCCTCTGCTGCGGCCGGCGCTGCTGCGTCCAGCGTCCGAACCTCGACGGCGTGCCTGCGTGTCTGCGCCCCGTCGCCGAGAGCTGCCTGCTGGTGCGGCTGCCGTACTGGCTTGCCGTCTGCGTCGCGCTGGTGGTCGCCTGCGCCGTGATCGCCTTCTTCGGCTTTGTGGTCGCCGACTCTGTGCGCACCTTCTCCTCCAAGGCGACCGAGTACACCGCGCGGGTGCAGCTGCTCGCACGGACGCTGGTCAGCTGGCTGGACGACATGCAGATCAGCTGGCAGCACTACATGACGTCGCCGAGAGGCTCGCTCGCGCACGCCAACGCCACGGCGGCGGCGCCGCTCATCGACCCTGCCCGCATTGAGGAGCTCGCCAAGAAGGTGCCGGTCGGGGACATGATCCTGTCGGTGCTCACTTCGCTCGTGGACGTGCCTCCCGCCTCGCCTCTCCGTGCGACTGTGGGCGGACGCGGGTCACGCCGCGCGCCGCGTGAACAGGTCCTCTCCAACCTCTTCCTCGTCCTCCTCTTCACCGTCTACCTCCTCCTCGGCTCCTCCCCGAACCACGACGCACCCGGCTTTGGCCGACTCGACGACAACGAGCGGCCGGCCCACGACGCCGGCGCGAGCAGCAGCTGCGCGTCCTCCCGCGTCGCCCCGGCGCCGCCCGAGCGGCGCAACAGCGCGTTCGGGGTGAGCACCTCTGCCCACGGCGACGCGGCGATCCGCTCCTACCTGAAGAGCAAGATCGGCGTCTCGATACTGGTCGGCCTCGCCACCGCCGTCTCGCTCGCCGCACTGGGCGTGGACCTCTGGCTCGTCTTTGGTGTCGCGACGCCCCTGACCCCCAGCTCTCTCTGCAGCTGCGCCGCAACTCCACACGCCACACCTCCCGCCCGCATCGCGGACAGCCCCTCCTCACCCGCGCCTCGCGACCCGCCCCGCCCGCCTCGGCCCCGCGCGCAGGCTTGCTCGGCTTCTGGCTCAACTTCGTGCCCACGGTTGGCACGCTGGTCGCGGTGCTGCTCCCCATGCCGGTCGTGCTGCTCGACGAGCGATTCGGGCCGGTGCAAGTCGTCCTCGCCCTGGCAAAGCTCCCCCGCCCGTTGCGCCGCGGCCCCGCCGCTGCGCCCTCCCTGACCGGCGCGCCGTTTCCGCCCTCAAGGCGCTCCCTCTGGCGGCGCACGGCTTCGCTGGCAACGTGCGGCCGCGTCGCCGCCCGCGCCGTGCATCGGAGGCCCCGCGCGCCGGCAGACCCGTCCTGTGCGCCTCCGGTAGGTGCTCGAGCCGATGCTCTTTGGCTCGACGCTGCGGCTGCACCCCGTGGTCGTCCTCCTCTCGCTGATGACGTGGGCGGCGCTCTGGGGCGTCACCGGGATGGTGCTCGCCGTGCCGATCACCGCGGTGCTGCGCATTCGGCTCGCGCACATCGACTCGCCCACCACCCAGTACCTCGCCGATTTGCTCGCCGGAGGGCCCGAGCCGGGCAGGCCCGGGGCCCCAGGAGGCGGCG